TGAAAAAAAAATGTTAATATTTTTGTCAGCCCTAATCAGAGCACTAACTCATTAAACAGATGCGCGCGCACAGCGATCGTGCAGAGACCGACGTGGTGGGATGAAGGGGGGAGAATTTACCGCGATTTCGTTTGTCCGAACCTCGTAATGTTTGACCAACCGGAAGAAGTCTTGCTGCAACGAAAGCCAGATGTTTCCTATGCGACAGAGATTAGTAGACGAAGTAGTCATAATCCCGAGTTGGTAAATGAACCCGATGACTCGAAGATCTTTGCTACGCATATCGTATGTTCGAATCCGACTACAAGCGAGCGGGAAACATTTTCAAAGAAATGAAATGTTAGTATTTATTACAAAAAATCTATGAATCCATACTGAATATATAAATAACAATTCTTGTTTCGCCATTTTGTTTCCTCCTTTAAAGAAACAAGACTTAAGAAAAAAGATCGGTTTTAAAAATGATAGGGCACAATATAAGAAGACATTAAAAAGCATGAATGCCGTAAATGTCGACCTTAAATTTATAATGAATGGGTTCCCAAAGGACTTTTAATCCAAGAGTTATGTATTCATCGGGTTCATACTGGTCCTAAATCTCGTATGCTGGTCATGAACACCTCTGATATTGGTTCCAGTGGGTGCCGGGTTCTATCTGGGGCCCGCTGCCGACGGCAGCGCCGTGCTCCACAGCGCCGTCTGACGATGTATCCTCAATGGCGGAGCAGCTGGCCGCGCTCTCCCTACGCCGCCCAGCACGCCCGCCGCCCCCTGCTTATATGTGCCATCTTTGCTTCAAGAAGGGACATTATATTGGAGATTGCCCACAGGTATGCATGACATTCCTTTATTATTTTCATAACTAGCTGTCGCCCGTGACACCTTCTGCCTATGTGTTCGTCTATACTATGTTCTACATCTTATGACAATCAGCGAGAACCATGCAGCCGTTCTGGACTTGCTTTCTAACAGACATCCATCCAACCTTACACCAAAACATTCGCATTTATAATATTATTAAAAAATAAGCATGCGCAACCGAACTTGCTTGCGTAGATAAGTGGAAGAGGCATAATGGTTTAGGACCACGCCAAATGGAAATCTATAATCTTTAATCACCCCTCTGGGTTACAGATATTTTTTTAATGTTTTATTTCTCTCTTACGATTAAACAAACTTTAAAATTATGACTTCAAGTCGATGACAATATTTTTTTATAACAAGTCGTGTAACCGTTCTGTTATTTCCGCAGCCCGGCATCAGCTCCGTGTGGCAAAGCGCCAATTTGGTCATTAATTAATTTATTTATAAAATACCATTCAGTAGTTCATAGTTGTTTAAATTGCTAGTAACCTGGCTTTAGCTATTTCTGTAAATAGACATAAAAAAGGTCATCCCTAACATTTTCTTCTAAAAAAGACAAGGGTATGAAGTGCGATTTTGAACTGTTTACTTTTTTGATAGCTGGTATATGGTCGGTACTGTTTGGGGGAATATCTGACACAGTGCCGGTGTACTGGCGCAACACTAGCCTTGTCTCCTGTCAACATTCTGACACTTGACTTTGTAATGAAAGCGCGCCATTCGAGCGAAATATTTTAACTAAAAATGTCTATACTCATATAAAGTACGCATTTAGTAAGTGCCAATACACTAAACTAGAAGGCTTGCGTGTCTTACTTGTTCTATTTATTCTGTTTGCTATTTGCTGATAATATTAAATGATAACCTATAATCGGGTCAATATGATTAATTAAATCAAACTAAATACATCATTGTTTTATGCAAATAAAACCTCCTTGAATCTGAACAAAGATGCATTATTTCAGCTTTCAACTTTGACTGTTATACTTTTATCTGAACTAGTGATAGTCCAAAGAACGTGTTTTGTCTAAACATGGGTTTCTGAGAACATAATCCCGACTTAAAACATATTATTATCTCTGGTTTACCAAAGATAATGAGAGGGATGACGATGTGTTTATAGAATTTCATTTACTTGCAGCCATACTCATCGCTACTCATAGACATCCACATTAAATGCGTTGTTTACCTTTAATCGACAAAGGAAGGAACGCACGGTAAGAGGATATTTCCCCTTCCTATTGTTAAAAACAATATTCGACATTGTGCCGGTGTACTGGCGCAACACTAGCCTTACTAAAATGTCGACGTTTATATCCCCTCACTATTCATTCTGACACTGAACTTTGTAATGAAAGTGCGCAATTCGTGCCAAAGGATTCAAATTAATAACGTCTAAAACTATGCATCCTTTCTCTGCCGAATCAGCTTCTCCATCCCATTCCTTACAAGAAAAGATTGCGAAAGGGAAAAGGAACAAAATTAGGCCTTTGGCTCACACACTCATCAGACTCTCGCCAGAATTGCTTCCACTTTACGCCTGTCTTTTGTGGTCGTGGTATTTCACCGGTGGAACCAGCTAATCGTGCAATGTTGATGCTGGCTGTACCACTGTTCTCACAAATATTATTAGATATGCTATTCGTAGAAAAGTGAGCCTGTTTGTGCAAGACGTCCGTTGAAAGGTAAAAGGCGATAGCAAAATGCATCGCAAGCACGCCCAACGCCCAATTTAAGGTTGAATACACATAGGGCGTTTGGGGTTATAATTTTACATCTACTACATACTCTTTCATTCTTTTTGAAAAAAAAGAGACAACAATATATATTTAGTTAAGGTCAAGTGTAGATATAAAGGTGCCAGAGACGCGTTTCAAAGTACGGATGTTTAAAAGTGCACGAGTATTGGAAGTTTCTTAAATAGCGCATTTTGGTTGCGCTCTTTAAAATCCCCAGTGTGTACCAGACTTAATTGTAACATAACCCGGCCAATTTTATTACATTGTAATTAGATTACAGTCACGATTTTTCTAAGAACTTCATCTTGAGTTGAATGTTTACAAAAGTTCAAATGCGTTATAGTCACGTAAAGCGATCGGTTACTAGAAATATTTAATGTAAACAATAGAGTTGTGGTACTGCCGATTTTTACACCTACTCTATATTTTTAATAACATAATATTACATTAAAAAAAAATCTTATTCAATATTAACAAATGAAAAAATGTCGCATTGTAAAAATGTACATACTGAGAAAGTGCGAGTGCTGTAATAGGTTACATTTTTTTTATATTATTGGGTGGCAAACGAGTAAGTAGCCATCTGGATTGGTTGAAATAACGAAGCGACTGCTGTCCATAGACATACGCAATTGCAGATGCGCTGCCTACCTTTACTCGACGTGACGCACGGATAGACTATGTTTCCCCCGTGCCGTCCGTTAAAATCCACTTTACCTTTCCATTCTTCCCTTGTAATTAATTATAATTAATTATTAATTCCAGGCTCGTCCTAAAGGTGAAGGGTTAACTCCATATCAGGGTAAAAAGCGTTGCTTCGGCGAGTACAAGTGCCCGAAGTGCAAGCGCAAGTGGATGAGCGGCAACTCCTGGGCCAACAACGGACAGGAGTGCATAAAATGTCGGATTAACGTCTTCCCACATAAACAGGTGATTGATTTACTAAGTTATGTTATTTGATCACGAAATTAGACACTTTGAGCGTTACTTTAAATAATACGACAATGTATACATATTAGTTAAAACCCACATCAATAAGATATGCTATTGAAAATATTCAAATATAAGATATGCTATTGAAAGTATTCGACATAAGTACGAAAGTATTATATTACGGTTAAACATATTTATGGTGAAACATATAAGCACTTTGACGTCCATAATATTCCACGAGCGTTCAAAGGGTTAATTAAACAGCATCTAACTACATTTTTTCCGGTAATAGAGTAAGACTTTAGTTATAACAAATCAAGTCGCTACGTTGCTACGAGTTCCAAAATACATTTTCCACTAATATATTTTCCCATATCATCGTGTTCCATTTTTATACCGTTTAATAAACAATTTTTAATTAATTTTATCTTAATTTCCAGAGGCCATTAGAGAAGCCTGATGGTCTGGACGTGAGTGACCAGTCCAAGATTCATCCGCAGCATCTGTGCCAGAAATGTCGTACCTTGGGCTATTATTGCCGCAGGGAGTACTGATCAGTTACCATCAAAAGACCATAGTATACTGTTCTACTTGAATCTTATATTTCCCCAGTGCCACAGAGAATCCTGGCAAGTTACCTCCAAAAGACCATAGGTATATTGCTCTACTAGAGTTGGCATTCTCTAGTGCAGCCGAAATTTCTAACCAGTTTCCAAAGTAATAACTCTGTAGCGCACTTAGGGATAGCCGGATAGACCAGCCAGTTTGGACATTTGCGTAAAAAGACACGACACCCTAAATTTTTGGCAACTCTCATTTGCGATGTAAAAGCTTAACAAAATCCGAACAACCCGGACACCGTATATCTCCGCCGGACACACAATCAAATAACCTACCGAGTTCCGGCTTTATCCGGACGCCTGGCAACGTTAGACGCATCTAAAGTAGGTCTTAGCTGAGTATTTACCTATTTCAAATATTATAGTCTATCCTCCAAAGATCTACAATTGTCGAAAGTATGTTTAGTATGTTTTCTTCTTTTTAAATAGTTTTGGTAATCAAAATTAAAAAAATAATTGCTTTAAATGTAATAATATGAAAGATTGATATATAAACACGGCTAAACACTCACGTGTATACGTCCGGTGGCGGCACCGACTAGTTTCGAGCACATCGGGGGCCCTTCATCAGGATGAGTGAGGAACAGTGAGCGACGGGCCGCGTCCGCGAAATAATACCAGTACCACTCATTCTGATGCAGGGCCCCCGATGGGCTCGAAACTAGTCGGTGCCGCCACCGGACGTATATGCGTGAGTGTTTAGCCGTGTTTATATATCAGTTTAGTATAATGTCTCACGAAAGTTTGAATAATATGAAAGATATTTGTACTTACAAAGATATTAAATTTAAAGTTCCTTCGTACTTAAAAGTTATCGAAAATTAACCCAAAGAATTTAATATTGTAATAAAAAAAATCTATATAAAAATATATTTAAAATTTTATTCGACGTAATATTTTTTTCAAGAAACTAAAAAAAAATAAAGAGATATTTTAAAGTTATTAAATACATTTTCATACCAGTTCTTATAGAATAAGTTTACGAAAAGTTTTTATATTTTTTTGAAAAAAATTTAGACGTAGTTTTTCATAATTTGATAAACACGTTTGGTATTCATGAACCTACTCTATGTTAGGTCAACCCTTACTCAATGACGCTGGCCCAATGCAGATTGACTTAATCTTTGAATTCCTTTACAAGAAACAGATTCCATCGCGATCTTTTTCTTCACTATAAGTACGGTTAAATGTTGTTATCACTGCGGTTATGAAATAAATAAACTCCTCATGGCAACAGAGTTACTTATAACTCAAACATAGGCATTAATATTATTATATATTTATAGTTTATAATTTAGTTATTAAAAAACAAAAAAAAACAATTCCTCTTATGAGTAAATAAGAAATATATTATCTGTATATTTAGATCGAATGTTAAAATTGTCTATTATGAATTATTAAACAGCCGAATCCAATATTCGATCTTTAAATTATAATCCAAAGAAATTTTTTTAATCTTAATGGCTTTCTGACACTAAAATGTCCGTTTCAAACATATTGTTATCTCTGTTTTCTCAAAGATAATGACAAGGATGACAGTATGACCAACGGCAACACATTTTACGAAATGAATTTTGACAGATGGCAAAAGGTCAATTGTCGATGACCTTGGATATTTAAAAAGAAATTCTTTCTTATTTGAAATCTGCTATAACTTAATTACCAACCTAACATTTGAATAAACAAAAAAAGGATCAAGATCGGTTATTGGGTTTGGAAGTAAATTAACCTAAGCGTAGTGCATAAGTATATTTTAATCTTTTTATAATTCTCTTACCTTCGTAGCGCTAAGTGAAACCTTAGTGTAGATTTATCGAGGGGGCCACTAAGCCAGAATTGGGAATAATTATAGATTAGTTTAGTTGTAACTTTTAGATTTAAATTAATTTTAAATTTGAATTTTAGCTTTCAAAATTTATAATAGAGTAAAATATATCATGTAAGTGAAAAAAAAAACAAATTTAATTATTAAGTATATAAAGTTTGTCAAACAAACAATATTATATTTTACCGAAGTGTGTAAGCACCCAAAGATGTGAATTCTCGAAGTGCCAAAAATAATTTAGTTTTTTTCTTACATAGTATTTTTAGATAAAGTGACATTTATATGACCTTGAATATTCTAGTTTAATAGCCATGGGTTTTCATTATCGTGTTGCTTAACCTCCACTTTATACAGCGTGTCCCAAAATTCAACTATAAAATGGTAATGGTGTATAGCGAGATCGATAACTACAGGGGGGAAAATACTAAAAACAAATCCAACTCTTTTTGTTTAAAAGTTACATTAACTTTTGTAACTTTTCTTATAATTTGATATCCTCCACCATATGTTTAGACACTTTGGCTACAAATATGAACATATCCTGCAATTTTTTTGTATTAGCTACCTTAGTAACATAGCTATTAATTACTGGGCCCTTTGCATTTAAGTTTTGTTTTTTCCAAGCGGCCTGTCTATATCTAAAGAGGTCTGTGCAGACCTCTTATTACAATATGTATTTTGTACAGATGTTTCGGTAATGAAAACTCAAGGTGAAAATGACATTGTTGTAACAAATGCAGACCAAAGTATATTAATGGTTTTCAATAATGTGAATCTTTATTTTTAATATAATAATTTTAAGATGAATTTGCTGAATCAAAGGTGCTTTTATTTTTAAAGTTTTAGATTCATTCTGTTTGTGTCAAGATGATAAAAGAACTAAGTACGATAATTTCAAAGATATTGTTATATGTTGACATATATTATATGCGTTTATTCTATGATTTAAATAAAATGCACCACTAAACATTATGTTTAAGTCATTGTCTGACGATCGGATCCAATAATGGATGATTGTTGCCAATACAAACGAACCTCTTTAGATTTTTTATATCATAAGGTGGCAAACGAGCAAGCGGCCACCTGAAATCGCTGAAATAGCGAAGTGACCGTTGCCCATAGACATACGCAATTGCATATGCGTTGCCTTCCTTTAATCAACGGAGGAGAGGATGCACAGAAAGAAAACATTTCCATGTATCCTCTCTTCCGGAAAGTCCACTTCCACTTCCCATCCATGCCAGAAATGGGTAGGAAGGGAAAGCGGACTAAATTCGGCCACCGGTACGCACACTCATCAGAGTATACTTGGAATTGCTTCCACTTGACGCCAATTTGTGCGAAGATATTAAAGCGGGCTCTACTGTTTTTTACTCATTATTTTTTTTATTTTTCTATAATGTTAGTTATAAATATCTTCCCCATAGTGTGTGCTTATCTTTTATTTTCTCTCTTCCATTTAATTATTATTATTTCTAACTTTCATACTTTTTCCCCAAATTTTCCGCTCGGTCGTTTCGTTTTCTAAAGTATATTTTATGGAGATTCTTAATCAATTTGCTGTACATGTATGTGTAGAAAAATCTACAGAATAAACGATCCATTTATGTGAAAATTTATTATATCTATAGATGAACATATTATTACGATTTGTTACTTATGTAATTAGATTTAAACATATATTTAAGACGTATTTTTTAAATAAACATTTAAAAATAGAAAAACGACTTTTATTTAAACAAATACCTTTAAACAAAATAAAAATTAAAAGCAAAAGGGAAAATGAAATTAAACAAAATATTAACATTGCATAAGCCCCATAAAACAGATAATTTTATTTACATATTAATTAAACTTACAAATAATTTATGATTAATGAAGAAATCCTGGCAACACTCGAATTCTGTGCGGTCTATCGAAGGAGTTTTCATAAGGAGCTTGAGCTTGAATAAATCCATCAGAGAAATCATCTCCGTCATAATCAGCTGATCTCTTTTCAAAATGATGTTCAGGTCCTGATAACTTCGATAGAGGTGAATTCGATTGTGGTCGTGTATCCGAACGTCCGAAAACCACGCAACAGATTAAAAAAACAAATGTCAACTTCACAATGGCAGCCATCTTGTCTACTCAACGTCAAATAAAGAATTACGATTCTTTGTGGTTTGTGTCGGAGTTATATAGGAAATAAATGTTTTCGTTTATTACTTGTGTAAACTGGACGGGGATTTGTGTACGCATCATTATTGTTCCATTAGCGAGCCCGTATAACAAATATAAATACGTTTTCGTTGTCACTTACCATGGTCAGTCGAAGGGTTAAATTTTAAATGCACATAAGAATCATATTTGTTACAAAGATAGAAATAAATTTAGACAAACTGTTTTATCAATTTAAATATGTTTTTATTAAGTTGCATCGTTTTTTTTAAATTAATGCCAGTACTAAACATTCATGTAAAATTATGCAAATAAATAACAAAATAAAAATATCTGTTTAATTAATAAATTTGAAGGTATTTGCTAATAAATATTCTAAACTAGAATAGTACTCTTAATCATCATCATCATCAGCTCACTATACGTCCCCACCTATGGGCTCGGAGCCTTTTTTTTCCAGAGAGGAATTATGCATACTCCGCGCCCCGGGAGGGACGCGGTAGTTATGTATTCTCCTCCATAGCGGAGGCATACCCACTAAACCTCTCTGTTCCTCCAACGCATCGGGACGGGGCAACGGGCACGCTTTCGCTCTCGTCCGCGATCCTGTCTGCGTCAAGTGCCGAGGCAGCTTCCTGTCGGGGGGAGGTAGCCCTCAGTCGACGGTGATGGACTCCCCCGTGTCCATCACCAAAGGGCTATTGTGGGAATGAGAACGCGACGGCATATTGCCGCCTTCGCCCCACTCTCCTACGCCTGAGCGGGGGCGCCAGGGGGTCTCCCTCGCGCTCCCGCTCTTTTGCCTCCTTCTGCGACATGACTCTTTCGCAGAAGCAGGCAACCGCTGTCCATGACCTCTCGCTTCCTAGCATGGCGCGTATAACGCCAGGAAGCGAGAGGTCACTCCCAATCGTCGCCACCAGGGTGCGGCGCTCTTCTTCGTGAGCGCAGCACACCTCTAGGGTGTGCTGCGCAGTATCCTCATCGGCGCCGCACCCATGGCATGACGTAAGGGCTCGGAGCCTACCCTAAGTCAAGGGTGATACTATTAATGCATTACTTTTAATATGACATTTTTTTATGTCCGTGTCTACAAGATTGTGATATCTTTAGTTAAACTTATTTATTATGTGGAACCGACGTAAACTCGTTGGATTGACGCACGTGATTGATACAACGATGTCTTCGTAAACATCTTTGTTTACTTTATTAAATCATTTTATTAAATTCAGTGTAAAATTTCTAATGTACTATCTCTGATTCTGACATTGTTTCTTTATTCTTGTTTAATATCCCAACTAAAGTTGGTCCCTTTCCATGATTTGAACTGACGAAGTGCACTACCTCTAAAATTATACTATAATCTTTCTAAACCTCTCGAAACAATATATCAAAGGGCCTTCGTAAGTTTATGAAATGTCTAAAAATTTTTAGGAAACTATCGTTTTTTTTGTAGTGTGGTTACTAACTTCCAAAACAATATGTCGGCTTAAAGTA